ACAGCTCATTCTGTACAAGTAAGAGTCAGAAGTCAGATAGCACTAGATGAAGGGGAGAGCAGGAGCCAGGAAATGGGTATTGTTTACTTCTCAGACATTGGCAGTACACAGATGGCAAGAGCTTATCATTATTTTTACCACTGTTATTTCTCTTAGGAGCAAAAGAGAGAGTGTGAAAAAGTAAAGAGCCCACCTTGAGACATCAGAGATCAGGTATAAGTCAGGTCCCTGTCTTTTCTTCAGTTGAAAAGCTGACTATGTATTGTTGTAACTCTGTGAGAATCAGTCACCACACGTGTGACAGATGGATGGCGATACTTCATTTGGGGAATTGTTGTAAAGAGATCTCATCTATCTCCTGGTGCACACCAGGAATTTAATCAGCTTCAGGCACTGTGTTAGACTCTTCCAGAATGCATGTTCCCAGTTAGCATCTGACTCAAAGGTGACCCTGTAGGATTCTGCTCTGCTCCCAGGAAAGTTCTCACCCAAGAATCAGAGTTGATTGCATTCAGTGGTGCTGCTTTTAAAACCCAGCCTATGCTGGCAATTGATGATGATTTCAAGGAACTTTTATGGGTCCGGTCAGGTGCCTCCTTGAAAGAGAAACAGCCCTTTGGCAGGTCAAAGTCATGAAGAAGCACTAGCCAGTGGGAAAGACAAGGCAGCCCACAGGCAGACACGTGACGTGTGTTTCCTTTTGAATATCACATAAGATGATCACCCTATCACAGGACTTAATTCAATTACACTGACCCTCCAGCCTTAGGCCTTTTGTCTCCGATGTGGCGTCTGTAAGCCTGTGACAGCAGGGGGAAGAAACTGTCCCTTGTGAGTAGTGCAGTCAGACTTGCTGCATAGTACACGGGTTGGGAGGTTAATGCATTCTTTTGTTCCTCACTGCTGGAAAGGCCACTGGGTCTCCACAAGGTCAGGCTGTGATTGAAAAGAGCACTCAGAAAAGCCAGTTACACTCTCCTCCACTTTTGCTTATGCTGTATTTCTCAGAACAATAAAAAGAGAACACAGTGGTTCTAAAGAAGACATTTTAGGTCAGCTGGCATCCCACAGGTCACCGTCTGAAAAGTTCTTCTCTTGGGACAAGCTTAAGTTCACAGGACTCCAGAACGATGGGAACTCTAACATCATCAGCAGCAAGTCATTCATTAGTTATCCATCCACCAAATCATCGTGACTCCAGGGTAGCCATTAGACCAGAGGATATTCAGATGTGTAGGGCTGATTGCGTTTTTAAGGAACTCACAAGGGAGACATCAAATGTAAACGAGTTGTTATGTCATGTCAGTAGTTCTCAACCTTCCTAATGCTGTAACCCTTTAGTACAGTTCCTCATGTTGTGGTGAACTCCAACCATAATTTTTTTGTTGCTACTTCATAACTGTAATTTTGCCACTGCTATGAATCGTAATGTAAGTATGTGATATGCAGGATATCTGTGTGATATGTTACCCCCAAGGGGGTTTCGACTGACGAGTTGAGAACCACTGCAAAACACACTAGATAGAACTGCCTGTGAGGCAGTCTGAATAGGCTTCGGAAAGGAGGCAGGAATTCTTGAATTAGATCTTTTAAAACTTGTATATTTTACCAGTAATACAAAAGGAAGAATGTTGTAGGTTGAAGGGATTGCACTTATATGATGTTTTTTAAAAAGGCGTACACATGACTATACGGAGTTGGAATCTTTCTACTTGACAGTTTCCCCTTGTGTTAAGTCTGAAGCACAGCATTTATTTGTATTGGCATATCTAAGAACACAGCACAAATCAGGCCGCTAATCCACAGCTACATTGTGAAGCAACTTTTCCTACATCTCTCTATGCCAGGATTCATGGAGTAGAAACACTCATATTGGCTTCAATGAGTGAAGAGAAAGGTGAAGCCACTCTGTGTCCAACTATTTGAGTTTCTCTCAAAAGCCCATGCTAACTAAGGTCATTATATTAATCAATGCCTAGCATCCTTTTCTGGGCTACTTCCCACTACATGTAGTTCTTCCAACTACATGATGTTAATACACTACTTACTTTCTCAAGAGTTTCATCCTTTTCTTTATTTTTAAGAATTTCATACGTTTATGAAATATGATATTCTATCTTCATTTCTCCCCTTTAGCATCCCCAATCTCCCCATTAGCATGGTACCTCCCAACTTCATATTGTTGCTTTTGTTGTTGTTGTTATTGTTATTGTTGTTGTTGTTTTATAATCTACCACGTTCAACTATAGCTACCCATACATGCATAGATGTGGTTCTATTTAATGGAGCATGGGAAACCTACCTGTGGACACATCCTCAATAAGTAATGATTCTCCCTTCCACAAACAACTACCCAATGCCAATAGATCTTTGGGAAGGATGAGGCTGGAGATGGTCTACATTGTCTATACTGGGTTTTTGCCTGGCTTTCTATTGTATAGTCTTGTAAAGGGAACCACAGCTACAATGAGTTCAGGATTGCATAGAGTGGGATAAGGGCGATAAAGATGCTTCATTAGGCCTGAGTACTCATCCTCTTATTCCCAACACTTTAGCCAGTCATGCATCTTTCCACTGACTACTGTCCACTGCAAAAAGAACTTCTTTAGGCACGGTTGAGAGCAGCCCAAGTCTATGGGAATAAGCATACATATTCTGAAGGCCATTTGAGAACATGGTAATTTATAAAAATAACAATAGCAGATTTTACCCCAGGGCATACAATCTCTAAAGACTTGGAATTTTGACCAAGATTAAAATACCAGATGTGAAATTCTACCCTGTGTAGCAGACCTCAAATCTATTAAGAAAACAACTTGCTTCCTTTTAACAGTCATGCAAGTATTGCACCAGTGTGGCCTGCTATGTGGTCAGATTAAGGGTGTGTGCTACCACCGCCTGCCTTCTGTTTACGGTTCGCTTTGTGACCTCGCTATGTGACCTCTGATCTCCAGGCAAACTTTTTTTATGAACATACAAATAAAATCACATTTCAGTACAAATAAAATATCACCACACTGTACAGCTTTTTAGTTACATGCAATGCCATTTTTGATTTGTGGTCTTATTTACTGGGCTACCAGAGACTTATTCAGAAAGTCCTTACCTATGCCTACAAGTTGAAATTTGGTAAATGAATAAAAACGGGGTTCCCACTAATGTCTGAAACAAGGCACAGGTGTCCACTCTCTCCGCTCCCATTCAACACAGTGCTTGAAATCTTTGTTAGAGCAATAAGACAAGAGAAGGAAATAAAAAATATACAAAAGAAGAAATCTAGGTACCCCTATTTGCAGATGGTATGGTTCTTAGTATAAAATACTCCACTAAAATTCTCCCTTTGGGGATGATAAATAATTTCAGCAAGTGGCAGAATAAAAAATTAACACAAAAAAATAGCAAGCTTCCTATAAACCAATGGCAAACAGCCTGAAAAATGAATCAGGGAAATCTCATCTACAATACTCACAAAAAAGTGAAGTACCTAGGAATAATGAATATTTGCTTCATTTATTTGACAAGCACCCCCATTGCACACGTTTGTTCCATTGCCATTATTGTTTTCCTGCAAACACTTGAGAGCAAGAATTAGGAGATTGCTCAGTTTCTCCTGATCCTCTACTCCTGACTGAGAGCCCCACCCACTGCCCTCACTTCTGTGACCTCAGTAGGCAGGTGGAGGTTGTTAGTCAGAGGCAACACTGTTAGTGTCACTGACGGTACATCTTCAGCACAACAGCTACATGTCTACTAGTCTGTAACTGACCTGTGTGGGGGGGTAGAGGTTGGAGGACCCCTAGCCATGGAATGTGATGAACTGTGAGGCCAGGGTTCTCTTTAGCCTCACTCCTTTATATCTGCAATCTGTAGCCAATGACTAATGCTTTCCTGCGGAAATCTTGTAGGAGAGAACTAAGCTTGAATAGAGAGTATTCACTTATGGCCTCATCTCACTCTCTACTGTAAAGATACTGGACTAAGGAGTACTGTCCTTTGAGGCACAAACACCCAGATACTCATGTACACCGAATCCCTCAGCCTTGTGCTTATATGGCCATACGCTAAATGCACACACAGTATTAGATATTGCTTGAGGGTAGAACATTTCCTCTTGACAAATCTTTGAGCTCTATTGTATTATACAGAGCCAAACAGGATTCATTTTTGCAAGTTCTGAAAACTGATATATTAAAAAAGGAGATATATTACATTATTTTATTCCAAAATTTCATTAAAGTTTATAGCAATTCCCAGTCATATCAGCACAAAACTGCTTTTTTTTTTAATCACAAAGCATCTTTGATAAATTACAGTGTATGTATAGTCACAGAGTAAGATACAATAGTATAATAGCACTGTGTAAACTGACTGCATTTACTGCACAATAGACTAGTTACAAGTACTTCGAGGTACCTGTCCTTCCAGCAAACTGCAGAAGGCTGGTGTTTGGCCAGTCCAACTGAATTCTGTTGCTTTGACTGCCTCAGTACCTGGTCTGAACTTTTCATTTGTAGAGCCCCTCCCACCCCCCACAAAAAAAAAAAAAAAAAAAAAAAAAAAAAAAAAAAAAAAACACCTTTTTTTGGATGGAACCCTCCGAAAGCATAGGCGAGTCCACCATGGTGTATGCAAGATATATGAAATTATAGGGGTTTTATACATCAAGTCTACATTTAAAACTGGTACTCGGTCCACAAACAGAAATTTCAGGTTAAGTTGTTGCTCATTTTGATACAATTCAAGCTATTCTGGGAAAATGTTAGACTTGTAAGATTTACCTTGGTCAATAGGATGTTTAAGAAAAATCATGCAGAAATGTCTTAGTTTAATATGGAGAAGTCTGAGAAATGGGAGACTGCTACTGTCAGTGTGAGGACGCTTCCTGGAGAGACAAGTCCCTGAAATCTGGGAAATGTTTCTTCCTGTTTTTCTGTGTTGTTCATTCCTCATCCCAGGGAGCAGCAATTAGACTTAAGTCTCTCTCTGGTTTTCCTCTGCAGACAGTGTGGAAGATGAACTGGAGATGGCTACAGTCAGGCATCGGCCTGAAGCCCTGGAGCTGTTGGAAGCCCAGAGCAAATTCACCAAGAAAGAGCTTCAGATTCTTTACAGAGGATTTAAGAACGTAAGGACTTTCTTTTTGACCTCACCTTTACCCAGTTCTCAGAGAATCACTAAAAAACTGAGTGTGTGCGGGAGCGGGGCACACTGTCCTGTGAAAGCCCAAAGGCTGTGTACCCTTTCCCTCATCTCTCCTTGATTTAAATACAGTCAGTCCCCACTGGGCCTTTGATTGACTTTGACAAGCCAATGTTGGTAGAACATAGTTGCCTGTTGGACAAGGATGAGTACTGAAAAGGCTTTCCTTAATTCAATTCTTTTGTTGGGGTTTGTTTTCTTCTTCAGGTGTAATGGGAGCATTTCAATGAGCCCTTCTTTTCTTAACTGCAAACTAGTGTATGCCTATAAACTATTATTTGAGGCCACAGAAAGACCTCAAAAGACCCCGAAGACACATCTAAGTGGCAGAGGCAGAGGCAGAAAGCAGCAACGGGCTGTCTGGTTGCAGAGTCCATGTGAGGAAAGGCTAGAAAAGAACCTGCAGAACACCGTCCAAGAGCCCCAGGAGATCTAAATAAGGTTCTTGGCCTTTCTTTTGTCAACTGAAACATCGGTGAAAGACTAACAGCAGAGACAAGAGTGAATTTGGAGGAATACAATATGAAAAAAAAAAGAGTCTTGGTTGCAAAGATGCTGTCATCCTTATGAAATGGTTTTCTTTTATGTCTTCTCTCCCCCTCCCTCCCCCTCCCTCCCTCTCCCTCCCTCCCTCTCCTTCACTTACTTTCTCTCTCTCTCCTCCCTCCCTCCCTCCCTCCCTCCCTCCCTCCCTCCCTCCCTCCCTCCCCCCCCCCCCCCCCTCTCTCTCTCTCTCATGTGTGTATGTGTGTGTCTTCACACACATTTGTCCATCTGTGTGTATGCATTGGCACCAGAGGTCAAGCTTGTGTTTCTTCTCTTAGGTGCCAACCACTTTGTTTTCTGCGACAAGATCTAACTTGTCTCGAGCTTACCAAGGAGGATAGGCTCCTGGTCAGTGAGTTCAGAGGTCCCCTGTAGTCACTGTCCCCTGTGTTGGGATTACAGGCGTGGATCATCACACCCAGCATTTTCAACACAGATCCTGGGGATCAAGCTATGGTCCTCAGGGTTTCAAACCAAGCAACTTGCTGACTTACTGTCTTACCAGCCCATCAAACCTCTCTGTGTGTAAGCACGAGTGTGTGCATGTGTGTGTGCATGTGTGTGTGCGTGTGTGTGTGTGTGTGTGTGTGTGTGTGTGTGTGTGTGTGTGTGTGTGTGTGTGTGTTGAGTTTGTGGCCCCCTTTTTTACTAAAGCATTGTCCTCTGGGGGGAAAAACATATGGAATTGTGGGTGGAATTTGATAGAGAATGGTAAACAACCTTTACAAGTAGACCACTATCTGCTATTTAGAATTTCTGTTTGGGGCAGCCTGAAAATACATTTCTGGACAAAGACTAGTTGTTTGGAAGGTTAGACCTCCCCACTCTTCTCCAGTCTTTTTAATTCAAATTTAGATTCATCAAATGAATGACTATCAATTTTCCTTGACTGTTTCTTTCAGTCTGTGCTAGTTGCCTGTATGTTGATGAATAATGCTTTCAATATTAAAGGGAAAAAATACCCAATGCTTGACTTACAGACTGAAGTTTATTAACTAACTCCATTTCTGGTACTGGGAAAATTACTGTGTTTTACTAATCATAGAAGACAATACTGTCATTCAATCCAAACCTTAGGGACCAATGGGTTGTCATGAAGCATGGTTGTCTTTCCTCCTAATGTGCATGTGACCACACTTCTAGATGTATCATCATCAAGGGAAGTGATAGCATGGGCACCGGAAAGGATCAAGCTAATGGTCAATGTAACAGATTCTTCAAAAGCCAAAGAAAGCATGCTCTGTCTTTAAAGAGTTCATGGTCTGAGCAGAGTGTGAAAGCTTACTGTGGAAAATCTATTTGAAAATAGCTTCCTCTATCACTGAGTGTATGTGCATTAAATTGCACATCAGCCCAACATATATTTTCATCTTATACACACCTAAACCAATGGAGGTAGCTATAAGTATTCCTTTGTATATGTGTCTTTCTTTTGTTTATATGTTTCCAAGTTGGAATACAAAGTGGTTATTTTTATTAGGACATTTTCATACATACTTTATTGTTAGTCTTCTTCCTTGGCTCCCCTTCAACCTGTGTCCTTCTCATGTTGGGTTCCTTCCTGCACTAATTGGCTATGCTTTCATGGCATGTGTATTCTCTTGCCCTGTTTGCTTTTTTAATCCCCTTTCAACAATCATTTACGACCCTTCTGCCCTCTCATGTTCCCCTTTCCAGGTTCATGGCTTTCTCTCCTCAACACATACTATATATTAAAATCTAGCATCTGTATACAGAAAAAGCATAAAGCAATTGTCTATCTGGGCTTAGGATACTTTCTTTAATGTAATAATTTCCAATTGCAACCATTTTGCTGTAAATGTTATTTTTACTTTTTTATATCTGCCACATTCTATTATAGGTATATCTCACATTGTCCTTAGCCATTCACTTGTTGATGGATGGCTGCTTCCATTTCCTGAGTACTATGAATGGTATAGAAGTAAACACGGGTATTCAAGTATTTCTGGGTTGACTTAGAGTCCTTTAGGTATATACCAGGAATGGTATGGCTAGGCAATATGGCAGTTCTATAATTATTTTTCTTTGAGAAATCTCAATCTGTAATGATTTGTAAAGTGACTGAAGAAATGTATGTTCCTATCAACATTGAGTAAGAAGTCTCTTTCCTTACATCCTTACCTTCATTTGTTATCAATTGCTTTCTTGATGATATACATTATGAAAGATGATACAGAGTATCGAAAGTTCTGATCTTTACTTCATTTGTGGCTAAAGATATAGAAAACATTTCATACATTTATCGGGATTTATTTGTATGATTCTTCTAAGGGCTGCCAATTCAGTTCATTGGACCATTGATTTATGAGAAGATCTGAAGTTTTTGTTATTGGATCTTTGTAGTTCCTTATACATTGTAGATTAAGTTCTTTTTTTTTGAGGTATAACTGGTACTTTTTTTTGTCTTATTCTGTGGTTTACTTCTTTTATCTGCTGGTAGTTTCCCTTGCATAGAATTTTTTTAAAAAATATAATCCTATGAATCCTTTTTTAAAAAATATAATCCTATTTATCAGTTTTCTCTGTCTATCTATCTATCGATCGATCGATCAATTGATCAATCAATCTGTGTGTGTGTGCATGTATTGTGTTCTTTATGGGTGTGATGAATGCAAATGAGTGTGTGGGTACACATGCCCATGAATGTGCATGTAATTGCCCAGGCAGGATGCCATATGCTTTTATATATCTTTACCACATTCTTGTACTGAGGCATGTCCCCTTTCTGAACTGGAAGTTTGCCATTTTGGCTAGTCAAAAAGCTCTTGGAATCTGCCAATCTCTCCAACATTGGAGTTACAAGAACTAGAAGTCATGTCCAGCTTTCTACATGGGTGACTAGGATTCATACTCCTGTCCTTATCTTTCTTACTGACTGCCCTATCTCCCCAGCCCTCCATTTGTCAATTCTTTAAGATTATTTCTTTTGTCATTGAGTCTTTTTCAGAATATTCTTGCCTATGCTTGTTCTAGCTTATATATTAAGATGTTTGATGTAATTTGAATTGAATTTTTTTCAGGGTGAAAGATATAAATCTAATTTCACTCTTTGATATTTGGACATTAAGGATTTGTTGCTGTTGTTACTGCTCTTAATAACATTTTATTAATTCTCTGAGAGTTTCATACAATGCATTTTTACTATATCCACTCCACCACCAACTCTGCTCAGATCCATCTTTTAACCCCCTACTCACTCAACTTCAAGTCCTCTTCTGATTTTTTTAACCCATTGTGTCCAATTTGTGTTTGCTTAAATAGACTTGGGGATGGAGCCCCATTGGACTTGGTCAACATTCCAGGAGTCACATCATTAAAGAAAGTTGACCCTCCTTTCCTTGGCAGCTTCCAAATGCCAATAGGTCTACAACTAGGGGTGGAACCACAAGTTCACTTCTGTTCTCTATGACAAGATTTTGTTTGACTTGAGCTTTCCAAGGTCTTGTACATGCTGTAACAATCACTTTGTATTCATATGCCCAGCTGTTCTATTGTGATTGGACAACAGTGTTTTCATAGATACATTCACTACCTCTGGCTCTTATGATTTTTCCTCCTCCTTCCTCAAAGATCCCTGACTCTTGGGGTGAGGTATTTGAGACATATAGCCTATTGAGTGGAGTCTCTTATCCTTTTCATGTTGTTTAATTGAGCATCTCAGCTTCTCTGATAATGGTGAAGAGAATATACTGGTTTAGAGATATAGTGATGTCATTAGGAGTTGTTTTAATACTATGCCCATTTATCAGATTAGTAGTAGTTCTCACTTAGGGTCTGTGACTTATTTAGACACAGATTCTTAGCATTGACAATGCCAGGTATGTATTCAATTTCATGGAGTAGGCTTTTGATACAACCACAAAATTGTTACTCCCATGACACTTAAGCAATCAGTGCACTAGTGTGTTTATATTGCCAGGGCAGCTGTTGTAGCTTGCAGTTTCACAACTGGGTAAGACCAATGAACATGTTTTACCTCTGGTAGTGTGCAAAGAATCATCAAACACTATGAAAACTAGCCAATAGGAATAAATCTTACGGGTGAGCACCCCATTGATTCTCCCATGTTCTGTGACTCAAGTATGTGGTGTCTTTATCAATAGGGTCTTATTATAAAATTATATAGGGTAACTAAGGGCAGGGGTGATATCTGGATATTTATGGAAACCCACAGCCAATAACTCAAAAAGAACTAGTTGGCCTGGTACTGGGGTTTTTATTATCCAGTTTTCCCAACATCAGCAACAGCATTTATTGAAGAAGCTCTCTCTTCTTCAACACTTGTTGGTACCTTTGTAAAAACAATTGTTGGCTGTGGCCTTCTGATTTAATTTCTGTATCCTGCATTCTATTATGCTG